TGTGTGTGTGTGTGTGTGTGTGTGTGTGTGTGTGTGTGTGTGTGTGCGCGCGCGCGCGCGCGCGCGTGCGTGCGTGTGTCCCGCCTCCCTGTGTGTTTGCTCCCTTATGCCTTCTTTCCCTTCCCTGGCGCATCATCCTCACCCACTCACTGCTCCAAAGAAACTCGCCAGAAGGCCCAATCCAGAGCTGGAGGCTCTTTCGAGGCTCCAGAGGTTGACAACTACAACTCCCATAATCCTGTACCCAGGAGTAGGAGCATAAATCCTTGCTAATTTTGTTTCCAGTCCGGAGAAAGGAAAACCAGCCTTCCTGTGTCTGTGAAAAGGATCTTGGCCCACTCTTCCGCATGCCCCGTGCAGGGCACAAATCAGGGCTTTGAAATCGTTTACGGGTTTGGGGGTTTTCTTCGGACCACGGCCCCCACAGAGGTGCAGCGGTCGGCCCCAAAAGCCTGAAATAAGGAAAGCCACACACCAAAGTCCCCCTCCACGCAAAAGGTTGCCAGCTGCTGTCAGGGGCTTCTAAAAGCACCCAAAGCACCCGCTGGGCACATCTCTGCATCGTTTTGGCCCTTCGGCCAGTCTTTCCACGCTTGCTCCGAGGGTGCAGACGCGCATCTGTGCTCTCTTTGCGTCACAAAGGAAGGCGCATGAGCTGTCCGGTCAGGTCTATAAGGCTGAATAATTTTCCGGAGGGTTCGGGTTTCTTCTCTTCCTTAACAATGACCATGACAGCTGGGAAAGGGGGGGGGTTATGGGTCTTGCAGTTAAAAGAAGTAACTTTTCCAGCTTCCGCCAAGCTTCTGCATTCAACGCATCCTTTCCTTCACGAATCCCCTTCTCCCGTTGTCTCTTCCCCGGTCATATCTGGCCGCTATAACTCTTTTCATGCTGTTCCCTTGATGACGCCGATAATGAGATAGAACTACCGAATGGGCACTTACCTCCCAGCAAAATGAGTAAATAGATTGAAATAATAATAACGGCCCCATCAAGAGAACGCGGTGCCGTGACCCGGATGAGCGAAGACAGCGGCAGCCAAAACAGCGGCTTTGAAACGGAAGGTGGGGGGGGAGTGAACAACACCCACCCTGCGGTCTGCAGGAAGCCCGACGTGGATGCGAAGATGGTCCGCCTGAGTCGGCCTGAAAATAGGAGGCCCCTTCCGTGTTCTTTAAAACATGGTGGCCGAAGGGTTCTGGCTCACTGGCCGCTCCCCTGGGAAGAGCTCGCGATGAAAGACTGCAGAATTGTAGAGTTGGGTGGGACCTTGGAGGTTATCTAGTCCAGCCCCCCCCGTGATGAAAGATTGCAGAATTGTAGAGTTGGATGGGATCTTGGAGGTTATCTAGTCCAGCCCCCCCCGTAAGAGTGGATCCACCGCTCAGCCAACCTCCGTTTGAAAACTTCAACAAAAGGATTCACTCCCTCCATCCTGATGCTTTGCTCTGTTGACAGCTGATCCACCAGTCAGCCAACCTCTGTTTGAAAACTTCAATGAAAGGATTCACTCCCGCCATCCTGATGCTTTGCTCTGTTGACAGCTGACAGACTTGAGATAGTCTCCTCTGAAACATGGAGGCTCGGCTGATTTAACTTAATGCTTTGAGGGCTTTTTTAAAAAAAAACAAAAACAAACCAGAGGCCTTCTTCAGGAGAGAATACCAAATTTGGCCACGGCAGAGATTTGACCATCTTTCTGGTGTGCTCTTTGGAGGATTTCCCCATGTGTGTAAGTATGATCAGTAGAAAGAACTTTAGAGCTGCAAAATTTAAATGCGGTAAAAAGTGAAACAGATTTCATATTTTTTTTAAACTGCCAAATTCCTCATGTCCCCAGCCAAGCAGCTCGATTCAACTTTATAAGGGATAACAGAAAGGAAAAGGGAATTGGGATTGATGAGGAAGAGGGGAGACAATAACATACTTTCATCCATTCTGTACCTATTGCCATATCAAGCTTTTAAATTATTCTGTTTACTCTTTTCTGCCTTCTAGATTCAGTTCTCCTTTCAATATGTACTGTTCACAAGCTGCCTGTTGATTCTGTTGAGTTCCAAACTGCCAAATCCCTGATGTCCCCAGCCAAGCAGCTCGATTCAACTCAGTGTTAAGTTTCAAAAACAGGTCATACATTTGAGCAAATATATACTCAAATGTATATATATCCATGAATATCCATGAAATTGCAGAGTTAGGAGAAAGCAAAACGGTCAGAGCTGTCCAATATTTGAAAATTACGGAAAGCTTTCCCAACAAACTTATAAGAAGCAGTACTGTTCCTTTTCGGATGGTGCCTTTCTTAATTTTGATATTTATTTATTTATTATGGCCCCCAAAGGGAAAATGCAATTGAGTGGCTGGCCGAAATTTAAAAAAGCAAAGAAGCCACCACACTGCTGAATAAAAATCGTAGCAGTTGGAATAAAGAAAAATGGCTAGGGAAGGCCGCACGTTTACCGATCCTGGGGTCTGTTAAGGAAACAGGCGCGTCTTCTCGCCGGCAGGAATAATCCTTGTGTTTTGTCTGTAGCCGTGAGACGGTGCATTTTTTGTGGGTAGGGAGAGTCTGTGTGCACGTGTGAAAACACGTGGGGGGGAAGGCCTCCCTTGCAAAAATCGATAGCGACCAGAGGGATAAGAAAGGAATGGATTAAAGAAATATGGACAAGACATTGATCGTGCAACCCAGGCCAGGAAAAAAACACAGAGAGAAGGGAAAGGGCAGAAGGACTCGAAGGCGGTGTCTTTTGAAAGGCCACGGATACGATGGGGTTGGGGGTTATTTTTCTACAAAACGGGGTTCAAGGAAGATTACATTCTTGGCTTTCACTTTTCTGTGTTAGGTGAGAGCGTTACAAGATTCGGGTATTAGAGGAAAACAAGTTTTGGGGGTGATAAAGGAATCCAGAATCAACTCCGCCAGCAAGTTTAAGAGTTTGCCTGCAAAGAGGGGAAGATTTACCAATTTTATGTTAAGATCTAGGGGCAGGGATCTCTCTGTTCTCTGCCCCATTAGAGCTTGCTGGTGGCCATTCTCAATTCACATCTGGTTGTGAGAGATGTTGTATTTCCTTCTCACGAGAGAATCTGTGCAGAGTTGTCTCTCTGTGTGTGTTTAAATAGATGCATTCTTTTGCACAGTATTCATTTTAAGCTATGGTTTAAAACAAAGGAAGGTAGAGCCTTAAAAATAAAAAATCTGACAGTTTTCTCGTCCTTCCTATCTTTTCAAGGCAAGCATGAGGTCTCCTGAATTCTGGATTCGGCAAAATATGCCTTGTGGGATTTTGGGGGACAAGGCGCCG